CTCTCTCCTGCTGGTAAATATAAATATATCTTATTAAGTCATAAGACGGGTGACAAAGATAGACAGGCAGGGACAGCAGTGATAAGGGGACAGCATGGATTGATGGGGGAGGGTAGTCCTGCCACTTTGCTTCAGAAACACTGCAGAGTAATTCCAAACCCTCATTACATATACATCACCTACACACACTATAAATGTGTATTAGGTTTAAATGTCTTCTAAAACGACTTCTCTGTCTGTCTCCAGCAACAGTGGTCCAGTCTGTCTCTCCCTCCTTTGAAGAAGATGCTTCAGATGGCCGGACAGATCGCCGACGGCATGGCTTACCTCAACGCTAACAAGTTTGTCCACAGAGATCTGGCAGCCAGGAACTGCATGGTGGCGGAGGACTTCACTGTAAAAATTGGAGGTAAAAAGCTGCAGGGGAGGATAATGTCCTTTTAGTCGATGGTATTGAAGGAGAAGGAGAAGAATTTAAGGTTGACCGGTTCATCCGGGAAAACTAATCCAAAAAAAAGAAGAACCCTTGAAAGCTGCAGGGTAGCTGTGTCGACAGGTTTCATTCACAGCTCCTAGAGAGTCTGCACCGCCACAAATAAACATGTTCCTGATATGCTTAGTGTCAGATATTTTTCATAGAAGATAATCCACTTGTCACCTCTTTTATTTTGGAAGTAGTCTGGACATTGTGATGCAAGGCTTTTATTATATTACAGTGTCCCTGGATAAACCTGAAACACTTGATTTCATGTGTAGCAGGATTTACCCCCTCTGTTTCAAGAATTAAAAGATCTGAACGTACGATTTTTATTTAATTTAATCATCGTATCTGCTTCTCCTGATGTGTATTTTTCTGTGTCTCTGTAGATTTCGGCATGACAAGAGACATATACGAGACGGATTATTACCGCAAAGGCGGTAAAGGCCTGCTCCCTGTGCGTTGGATGTCACCAGAGTCTCTGAAAGATGGAGTTTTCACTACCAATTCTGATGTTTGGTGAGCAAACAGACACACAAACCGACATTTCCACATAGCCGCTGTGTTTGAGTGCTTTCAGGGAAAAAAAGGTCTTGTGTTCATAATTGAGATAATGGAAGACACACTTGTTTACTCCTTCTCTCTCTCTTTCCTCCCTCCAGGTCATTCGGGGTTGTGCTGTGGGAGATTGCCACTCTGGCAGAGCAGCCCTACCAGGGTCTGTCTAATGAGCAGGTGCTGCGCTTTGTCATGGAGGGCGGGCTTCTGGACAAACCACAGAACTGTCCTGACATGCTGTAAGAGACTGACACACACACACTCACACACACACATGCCCTATTGTAGATTACCACGTCACCAGGCTACCAGCAGCAAACATTGTGTCATGTCGCTGTGTGTTCTGACTCCGTATTTCCTCCTGGTTTACTTCGTTAAAGTCTCGTGTTTATTCTCACAACATGTGAAGCATTTTTGGATTTCTGCTCCACAGCCCACAGTCTGTTTGTCACTGTGGGCCCTTTTGTTTTCCATGATGTGTTTGCACTTAGAATGAAAGAGGCTGACTCTGAACCCTCATCAAAGAAGAAGTGAATGAGGGAAATAAATTGTGTGGCCACCGACCACAAACAGGGAGTCATGAGGAGAACAAATGTGACGCCACAAGAGTTTGTTGTGAAAATGCTGATTGGCAGAAGCAAACGTACAAAATCTCATTCTTTTGTTCATACGAGAGACGGGGACTCTCTCAAACAGCTGTTTGTGTGTAATTATTATTCAAACGATGCTGTGTCTAATTAAATTAAAGTAAAAAAAAAAATATTCAGTTTAAATTAGATGAGTTTGGGTGTCAAACAAATAATCATCTTCATCAGCTTGTGTCGGAAAAGGGAAAAATGAACATGTCACACTGCTTATCTTTAAAACGAGAAATAATTAAATGATGCCTTATCATTTTTGATCATTTTATTTATTTTATCTCTTTATTAAGTTATTTAATATTAATATGTTACCATTAGAATTACCATAGCACTCAATTATCAGAGCCCCAAGCTCTGATTTACTGCTTAAATTACAAAAAGTAATCGTGCAACAGTATCAATGGTGACGGGTTGTACTTTATATATACACTGCATATTAAATGTTTTAATCCTAATCAGGAAAAATTAATGCCAGAAACTAACTTGACTCTAGAAGTTTACTTTTCATGTGTGCACCTGATGCTGAGCACTTCTGGTGAGGTCTCAATGAACATACAATGAACTGAAAGCCAGCGTAGGGTAGGCAGTACTACTCTGTGGGTAGTAGGTTGACGTGCAGTGTGTGGGTTAACCACAGTGAGGACTCCAAGCAGGAAAGTGCTTACAGCCAGTTTTATGTTCCGCTGATTACCAGAAGGATATTTTAAGCCCAACTGAAACAACTTGTCAAACTAAAATAAGCCTCATAGTCAAATAGTACAGAAATAATCTATTAGGTAACTTTAAAAAGTTTAGTTTTTTTTTGTTCTTCTGGTGACTTCTGTTGAGTAAACACCATATTACTGTGTCCATGTGTGTGTGTGTAGGTTTGAACTGATGCGAATGTGCTGGCAGTACAATCCCAAGATGCGTCCATCCTTTGTGGAGATCATCAGCAGCATCAAGGATGAGCTGGAGCCGGGGTTCAAAGAGGTTAGTTTCTTCTACAGTGCCGACCACAAGACGAGCGACGACTCACAAGCCCACCTGGACAAAATGGACGATGTCGATGACATTCCTCTGGAGCCAGCTTCTTCCACCCAGTCGCAGCAGTCCACAGTTTTACAACAGACCCCGCCCTCCCCAGGTTCGGAGGCTCCTCACGCCCCACCCCTCAGCTCCAGCTCCCCATCTTCTCCCTGCACATCAGCAGCTGCCATGGACAAGCAGGCTTCCAGCCAGCAGGCGGCCAATGGGCTGTCTGGTCCAAGCCTCGCAGCGGGGACGGGAGCAGGTGTCACAATGCGGCCGTCTCTGGATGAACTGCCGCCGTATGCACACATGAACGGAGGGCGCAAAAATGAACGTGCTATGCCCCTCCCACAGTCCTCTGCCTGCTGATAGGACAGAGACCCCCACCTGACTGCAACCTCTGCCTCGTGCTGCACAGCAGAACCTGATGTCACAGTGGGTGGGACCCTTTTTTTTTTGTTTTAAGATAACATACTACAGTCTACCAGCTGGGTGTGGTTACTCAGTCAGGAGCAACGACTCACAGAAAGGTGGAGGAAAATAGTAATATTTCATGCTCTGCTGTAACTCCACACACTTCTTTTCACATTATTCTACCTTTGTTTTCTACCAGCTGGCTGTCTCATGTGACACTGCCGTCGCTGCTGAGTGGAGGAAAGTTAAAGTTAAAAAGAAAGAAAAAATATATAAAAATAATTTGGGGGAGAGTTCTCCCTTTATTTCTCTCTGTTTATGGCTGAACTTATTTTATAAATTGTTGTTTGCTACTTTTTATATGTATTTCCAAATGGGAAAGGCCTTTATAACTGACTGGCAATTTGATCACTTTGGGTGGGCATTAAGGTGAAGCATATCAAATGAAGAAGAGGTCAGTGTCTCTGTCAGTAGCTTTGTTGTTCTGCATGCTGAATATCAGCATGACATCAGGTCAGCAGCTACTCCAGTGAATTGAACAACCAGAGGGAAGACAGAGAGAGAGAGGGAAGCGAGAAGGTCAATCTGCCAAAATTTGTTGCCAAAATTGTACTTTTTGTCAAATTATCTTCTTCTTGCCCCCACACTCCAGAAAAAAAAACCAACAAAACAAAAGCACTTTGATGTTTTGTCACACAGTTCTGATCAGACGTCCCTCTTCAGTCCTGCATCTATCCTCTTTACACCTACTGTAGGTTTTATCAGATTGATATCATAGACAGTGGTCACTGATCAATATGTCTGAAATTGAGCCACATCTAGTCACAAAGTGCTGTTCAGTTAAACTGCCAAATTCAATCAATCAATAAGCAAAAAAAAAAAAAAAAAAGGTGAGGACTGCAAAAGGAGATGTACAAAAAGGGGAAACAAATGTAAAACACTACAATGTCTCTGTCCATGCTCGGAGACATCTTTGCTGCATACAAAGGTACGTATTTTTTGGACTAGTGATTTAGTCTCCAACACTTAAAACATCTCTACATGGGCAAGCATTTATGTACACACCTGTTGTTTGTGTCACTTTTTTAACTTTTATACGATTGGAGACATTTATCGTGTACAGAAAGAAGCTGCTATTCCTCGTTTCTCTTGTGGTTGTAAAATAGTTAATATCTATATATAAAAAGAGAACTCCTTCAGGATGGATCTACTCAACGTTTCCACTACAGTTCATTTTTTATGTATCTGACCTAGTTCCATTTCTGTGTTTGTATAAACTGTATGACAGTTCACATTGTGTTGTTTTGAATCTCCCATCATGTCCCCTCTCATCTGACCAGAGGACAGTGATGGTGTCTGTGACCATCAGTGTCTTCCTGGGACACATTAAGACCTCAGCCCTCAATCGTTTAGACTGGACCACCTCTATACATCATCCTACTCAGAGGTCAAGCGTCAACTGCTGAGTCCCAAGTAAATCTCAGGTCGAAGAGAAAAGTTAAATCCTTTTCTGCTCTTTTATTTTTGTGCTGTTACACTCAGAAACATCGCTGTCAGTGTGTCTGATTCTGTGTCCCTCTAATACGGTCACTGCATTTTCATTGCTAATCAGATTTTTTTTTTTTTTAATGTCACTCAAATTTAGAAAGGAAATCGGGTGGGTTAGGGGGTAGTTTTAAAGGTGCACTGTGCTAGGTTTAGTATCACATAGTGGTCAAATTTAACATTGCATTTCCTTACCTTTTTTTTTTTTTTTTTTTTACAAGAACGAGTAGTAGCCTTTTTTCACAAGTATTCAGTTTATTTCCTCTGGTCTGATATTAATTTCATTAGGATTCAACATCCAATAGATTCATCTAAAACCTGCACAGTGCAACCTAAACTAATTATATGATGCCTGGATAAGGACAAAACAAGGTAAAGAGTTATCAGATCAGTCTAAATACAGCTGAATGTGTAAATAATATTAATATGAATTATATTAATATTGTTATTTAAATATTTGGGATGGTTTGGGGGAAAACATAACTTTTTGATGTATTTACATGGTTTCAAGAGAAAAGTTATTCATGAGTTGAAAGAAATGTAAACCTATTTCTCTACTGTCCATAGCATTTTCATTATCCTTAGTTTTCTATTTTCATGGTTGCACAGATCTATAACATCTATAACATTTATCCTCTGTTCTCCACACGTTTGTTTGATTTTCAATCGTAGCTATTGCTACTCAAAGACTTTTGTCTGTCTTATGTGATACATGGACACTGTATTGTTGTCGTGATGTTAGCAGCAGGACGGGTGGAAATGGGAAACGTTAAAACGTAATGGGTTTTGTGTGATGCAACAAGACAAAAATGACTAAATGTAAGATAGACAGAAAACTAAAGAAAATCAAACTTGAGAAATTATTATTATTATGAAATATTATGCTGGTTTTCCATTATAAAGGTCCAGTGTTCCTTTGAGGATGGTCTCTTTTCCAAAATGGCGATGGTGACCTTCATATGTTTGTATATCTGCATTAATGCTTTAAGTGAGAATGGTTTGGTTTAATAGCCTTAGAAGAAGTCTTTCGTTTGAACCTAAGTTGTGGGTTTCGCTTTGTGACGCCCCTCGTGTTTATACAGCGGTCTACAGTGCGTATTTATTTTCATGTTTAGAAGTAGAAGCATACAGCGCAGAGGACAGTGGAACACTTGACCTACATAGGCGTGATGTATGAACCAGCAGAAAAGAAGCGGGAAACAAGAGAAGGATGACAGAGAGTCGTGGGAGAGCGGTAACTTTTAGAGATCGAGGTGTAACATGTCACGTATCTCGTTGGACCTTTAATTACGACAACAGTTGCTCCAATGGCCATTTCATTCGATTTTCTTGTCTTAAAGTTGGGGTTCTTTGCACTTGTCGCTGTATAGAATCACCAGGTTGGAGCTACAACGAAGAGTAGATTATATTTGACTGCAGGGGGCAGGTGGGAAGGTCTGTCTTTTTCTGAAAGCTAGTGTTTGAATAATTTCACTCTCTGCTAATCACTGTCTCCCTTGAATCAAGGCTGCTGCTGGAGAAATCCGTATTTATCTTTTTTCATCACATTAGCAGGTCTGTAGAAGATCGATGGCATTAGGATAGGTAGAGAGAGAGGGGTGGAATTATCTTCAAACACTCGCGATTGTCAATTCTGTCAACAACAAAAAAAAAATTTGATTTTCTCACTGACGACGCTGATAAATACATGAAGAAAATGCTGACAAGCTCCATCTTCTGGCTGTGTTCTGGTACTGCAACACTAAGTCCAACGTCAAAAGGACACCCTTCTGAGAACCAACTGTAACTGGAGAGAGAGAGAGAGAGAGGACCACATGCAACAGATTATACAGGCTAATGAAACTCATTTGGATTCACAGCCCACACGTTTCTTGGTTGTTTGTGTTACTTTTTATGTGAAGTGTAAATCACTGTACAAACTTCCCACCCTTGTGTTTTTTTTCCTCTTCTGATATATTCATGTTCTTTTCCTATTGTAGGAGAACAATTGTTATTATTATTTCCTGAACCATTCATCTACCTCACTGTGCCCCCCCTTCCCTGGTCCCCCCTATTTTTTTCAGTCTATCTACATGTACAGAAAAACATCTAATCTCTGTTGTTCAGCTGTAATAACAGTTTTAGTTGTTGTATGGTCAAATTCACACTACAAAACCAAACCATTCTACCTTTGGGTGGACTGTTAATAATTAAGCAGATGTTCCACAAGTCAGTCTGGACACTATAAGAGCTGCTGAGAGCAATTAGGTCAGAATGGGGAAGTGTTCCAGACCATGCTGGTCTTCATAACTGTTTTGTTTTGGGGTTGATTTTTTTGTTTTTGTTTTTTTGTTTTGTACTCAGGGTAGATGAGACGGCTGTCTGAATTGTTAGATGCTCTGCTGTGAGAAGAATGTTTAGGAAGAAAAGGAAGGAAGAGCAGTCCTGCTGTGAGAGACTGAATCCTTCCTTCTGTTATTGAAATCTCATCTTCATTTCCCTCCTTAAAGCCCCTCAGTCGTCAGGACTTCCAACTCCAAGGTCTGTCCCCAGTTTGCGGTCGTCATGCATTTCCATTGTACATTTGCATGCTTCCTTTTTTGTTTATTTTTAACTTTAAAACAACCCTGAAATACCACGAAGGGTGGTTGGACTGTTTTCAAGGTCGCTTTAAAAAATTCCATCTGTAGAAAAGCTCCACGGTCGTTATAAAGCATCAATGACTTTGCTCTGTTCAGCCGGGATCATAAACAGGATAGGGTCCTAGTGAGGGGTTCAGATATATGACTTACCAACACAAGTTCTAAATTTTTAATATTTCTACTTTCAGTAACTTAAATTGCAGCCTTATTTCCAGCTTTAACAGAATCAAAAGAATTTGTATTGGAATCTGTAAAATGTGGTGTAGTGTTTACAAAACTGATACTAGAAATATATTTAGTTATAAAAAAAGGCACTTAACATCTTCTGGTTTTATTTTTTTTTCTTCTTTCCCTTCTTCTCAGGAACATGTGTAACATAAGAAACTGCTTAAATTTTATTTTTCACTGAGACCAATCAAAGCATTTTGTGACACATGAACTCATTTTGGTTTTCTACTAAAAACAGCCATGACCGAGTCTTTTTTTTTCTCTCTTCTTCTTCTTTCCCATATTGTTTTTTTATTTTTATTTTACTCTTCCTCCTAAAACTCACAGCAGATTAGAAACATCAGTCCTCTGATCCACTCTGAGAACGGCAGACTTATCGCAGTTTCATCTAGAGACGGTTGGGCTAGAAGTGATGAGGTCAGGGCTTTTTTTTTTTTTTTTTGCTTTTTTTTTTAGCACTGGAATACCTCACAGAGCGGACATAAAATCATACACCCCCGGCCCCTCCTCTTCTTTTCCCCCATTACATTGGTAAAACAATTTGTTACTGAAATTTTTGATGTGTGTAAATTATTCATAGCTTTCCAACTCTTGTGTTTCAAGTTAAATAATCTGTTAGACTAAGATTTCATTTTGGTTCTTTTTGTACATGATGATGTAAGAATTTCTTTTGTTTCAATATATTCTGAGTACTCGGAAATTGATTGGCTGAAGGAAATGGAGAATGTCTGTTTCTCTGATTCTTTTTTTCTACATGAGGTTTAAAATTAATAAAATGTATGCAAACTGCTCTCAGCTCATTTTTGGGAAAACAATGTCACGCATACGAAGAAGAGCTAGTGCAGGTGTAGATCAAAATGGGGTTCAGGATAACTTTAGTCATAATGAGTTTTATTAACACACAAAATTTTGCTCTGATATTTTTAGAGTTTATGGAGTTGTTTTGTTTCTGTAAACAGTCTTTTTTAAGACAGGCAGTACATTTCTGAAACGCTGAACTTTGCTTTATATATATCAAAGCCCAGTGGTAATACATTTTAAAGATCTGTTTTTCAGGGGGACAAATAAACATCTAGTAATAAATAAATATATCTCGCACAAGTGAGTCACTTTAAACCTGCAGTCGGCAGCAGAGGGCAGCAAATTGCCAACGTCGAGCCGCTTCAACGGCTCGCAAAGGAGAAGATGTGATTACGTCACACTTTGTTTACCACAGAACTACTTTACTTTTTGAGCTAAAATCAGACATGTCAACTTAAAAAATAATATAATGACTAAAACGTGTGACGTACGTGGCAATGAGATGACATTTTAAAAAGCCGAACACACTTAAAGGTAAAAAAAAAACCTCCCATCTCGCCATTTACTGTATTGTGCTAAAGAGAGCTAAGTTGCTAGTTAGCATGCTAATGCTGCTACGAATAGCAGAGGAGTCGAGGGAACACGGAGACTGAAAGCAGGCGGTTGTTCTAGATTTCAGCTGATGACAGCAGGAGCACCACACCTTTTGTTATGTGCAGTCTTTTCCGTGAGCATGTCAGGGAACGCAGCATAACACAAGTCCGTATTAGAGCTAAGGCGCTGGCAGTTTGTGACTGAAGCTCGGGTTGTTATTCATTCTCTTTTATTAGTTCAATGTCAGTTTAACTTGCACCACGTAATATGTTAAAAACGAGTCCAGTAAAAAATCACACAGATTTAAATTTCTTCCCGATTTAATTCCCAGTTCTTATTTTCCCACATTGCCTCTAATTTCAGAAATGTTGTAGAAGAAGGAGACGTTGCTGAATCCTCTCCATCAGAGAGGCACAGGTCGACACAGCGATGGCCACTGACATCTATGAGACCATATCCATGGCCAAGCAAGAACGCCACAAAACCCTGTTTTTAAACTACAGAAACCTAAAAATGTTCCCAGTGGAACTACTGAAAGATGAAGGTCTGCAGTTTCTGGAGAGACTTTACATGAAGAGGAACTCTCTCACAACGCTGGTATCAACACTTGTTGTCAACCGCATCAGTCGTCAACTAAGCATACCTGATTATTACTCAGATTTTAAATATTGTTTTCTACCATTTCCTGTGTTTCCCTCAGCCTGACAATCTTGCACAGAAGCTGCCCAACCTAATTGAACTGTGAGTACTCATTACATATTTTCATATACATATATATATAAATGGTTTAGTCTATTAAATGTGTTACCTTGTACTTTTTAGGTATTTGCACTCAAACAACATAGTCATTATTCCTGAAGGTAAGAATTCTGCTATGTCGTGAGACCGGCATCACACTAAATGTAGTTTAGTTTTCTTTAAGACAAGTAAACCAATGAATCACACAGGAAAAAGATGGTGTAAGAAACATAAAGATGTTTAGAATGAAAAAAAAGTTGTAATGAAACTTGTGAGAGAAATTTGGCAAACGTTTGTTCACTTCACATGACACAGGATATTTTGTTTTGATTCTCAGCTATCGGAAACCTGGCCAGACTCCAGTCCTTGGATCTGAGCAACAACGCTCTGCAGCTTCTCTGCCCAGAGATCGGACGACTGAGGTCACTGCGGCATCTGAGGTTGTCCAACAACCAGCTGAAATGTCTCCCTCCAGGTAAAATTTATTTTTGATTGCAGTACTTTTATTCTCTCTTAGTTTTTTAGTTTTTTTCAAGTGATTTTTTTGGTAATTGTTTTATTCTCTCTTAGTTTTTTCAAGTGATTTTTTTGGTAATTGGTGCATGACTAGTCCAACAAACTATTCAAACATTAATTAAAGTTCGAATAGCAATGTAATAATTTGTATTTTAAAAGTGTCTATTACATAAAAACCCACTGCAACGTCCTGTGTAAGTAGATCGTCAGTGACAAAATGAGCTTTACCTTATTTTCCAGCAGAGGGCGACAGAGACTGAACATGAAACGGAGTAAATATAAACTGTTAGCCCTTTGAGCTGCAAAAATGTTCGAAACTATTACAACTTTTTAACGTAAAAAAACAAATGATATAATTTTACATTTTGAGTAATTAAAAACCTAAACCCTGTGTGTTACCAAAGGTTTATGGTTTTATTTATGTGAAATAACAGCAAGCCTCCAACAGTGACTTTAACAGGCAAAAGCATGATTTGTTTTTTTTAGTTCACAGCTGCTTGAAAATCTTAAAGCTGTGTTGAAAAATAAAAAGTGATTTAGTTTATCAAAAGAACCTTTCTTAATTTAAAAAGGTATTCAGCTTTAAGTTTAAATGACTGACTCTGACTCTTCCTGTTCTTGGTGGTCAGCGATTGGTGATCTGCTGGAGTTGGAGACACTGGACGTGTCCATGAATCAGCTGATGTCTCTGCCTGAGCGGCTGCATCGCTGCCTGTCTCTGCAGAGCTTGACGGCAGATCACAACCTGCTCAGCCACATTCCACGACAGCTCTGCTGTCTCCATCGCCTCAACCAGCTGTCAATGGCTGCCAACCAGCTGACCTTCTTACCACTGGGTACATATACGTTTATATCAACTTTTCCATTTAATGTAATGCACTGCATGATGGCATATACTGTATGTTTATATATGTTTATATGTCTCAGATCTTGGCAGGTCACGAGAGCTGCAGTTTGTGTTTGTGGACAACAACTTGGAACTGAGGGGTCTCCCGTCCTACTTATACAACAAGGTCATCGGCTGCAGCGGGTAAATTGTAGTAATTACTGAAACTTGGCTCACATGGGATTAAATGAAGCAGGAGAAATGTACTGGTAAAACCACTGAAGTATAATAAACATGTGCATTACCTTTGCCAAGGTGTGGTGTGTCTTCACAAGTGCTGGATCCTGGTAACCTGGTGGAGGTGCCTGGTGATGCCATCAGTCAGACTCTGGCTGGTCTACCAGCACAGGTGAAGGTGGTTGGCACAGAGGCAGACAACGTGGTTCCTCTGGAGGAGCTGACCATGAGAACACTGCACCGCCTCTACCACCACAGACCAACAGGTAAGACTTCGCCTGTATGTTCACTGTACACACTGCTGTACAGGTGTAGATTTGTTAACAACACTCGTGTCTGTTTTACTTCTTAGATCTGAACCTGCCGCCTCCCATCACTCTCCCTAAGAGTCTGTTGGACCTTCTAGAGTTCCCTCTGGGCCACTGTCATCGCTGCAGTCAGTCCATGTTCACCATCACGTACCCCAAACTCTTCCCTCTCCGTGACACCGTCCTGGCAGGCGTGCACCGAAGGTTAAAACGAACAAACCTCTTTTACTTCTACACCTTCACATCTAACTATCTTACAAACTGATCAATCAAAACATTTAATGTATATTAAACTTATTTTTTTATTTTTATAATAAAAACTCTTTCTCTTCTTTCCACTATAGAACAACTGTAATGTATATTAGATTAAACTTGTTTTTTTATTGTTATAATAAAAACTCTCTCTCTTCTTTCCACTATAGAACAACTGTAAGTTTTGTGGCTTACTGCTGCTCCAGTCACTGCCTTCGGACTTTTGACCTTCAGGGTTGACACGTCTCTGTTGTTCTACGACCTGTGTGTGTTCTAAGAAGCAGTTGAATTGTTGGACGCTAATAAGTCAGAGATTTGCACTTTGCAGCAGAAATATGGTTCTGTTGTGGAAGAAAACCAAGAACTGAAACAGAAAAGAAACATTTCCAAACAATGTGGACAAAAGAACCAAACGTACAGTGAGACTTGTGTGTGTGTGTATGAGATGATGGTCAACTTATGAACAACTGTGTGATTGAATTTTTCAATGAAGTCTGTCTAAAGTAACAACACGGGCCCTTTAACAAATGGTACTTTTAATAAACTGAAGTGTATTTTTCATATCATTTTACATTTTTACAAAGCGGACACATTAATGAATGCGTTGGAGCATCATCTACAGTACATTGACCAGGTGATAACACTTGTTATATGAATGTAATTTATGAAGCCACTAATAAATGTAATTTGCAGAGTTTTATTTAAGGGATGTATGCTTGGGGTAATGGTAAGTGTGATTTCAGTTAGCTTTAAAAACTGATGGTTGTGATTTAAAGTCACAGATTTGGTCTTCTGAACCTCTGAAGACTGAGTTTTTTTCCAAAGACAATTTTTTTTGTCTCAGGGTGAGCTCTAGTTTTAGAACTGACCATAAGTTGCTGCTTCATACAACAAGTTCATACAATCCATAAAAGAACCATTCTCTGATAATGAGCATCTGCAGCAGAGAAAAACCTAATCCATTTAAACGGTATCAACTCGTTGTATTCTTGAGTATTTTCACGTAGACTGCAATATACTTTAATTAATTGAAATATTTTATTTATGTAATACTCGTATTATATCGTGCCAAATTGTCAGGAACCGACACAGTACGATTTAAAATTCCCTGTCGCCAAATATAGAAAATAGGTGTTTGTTTTTGTTTCCTGCAGTCACTGTGTCTCTGTTGGTCGAATGCGTGTGTTAATGTTCATTACTGTGTTGAACAGTTGTAAATTTTAATTTGTTTGAAGTAAATAATAAATGAGTTTGACTCTTGAGTGTTTTGACTCCATAAAATTTTAAAGTCTCTAAAGGCAGGACTGCTAAACCAAACGCCAGTTCAGTTTCACCATTATAGCATAACACTCGTATGTTAGCAACAAAATACCTTAGCATCGTTAGCTTATATATTGTTTTGTCTTTACTCCCTCATCGTCTTTCAGCATTTCAGCTTGTTGTTTTTTTTAATGAACTAAAAACATCAGACTCATTAGACACCGTTCGTCCTCTTCGTTAGTTCCGACATAACCTGGTAAACTTTCACATACTTGAAAATGCCTATTATATCCCAACCAAGCAGTTCCCCTGTAAACCGTGGGGGCGGTGTTGCGCAGTAAGGAACAAAAGCTGTACAGACAACCACTGTCATCTGTTCCTTGGTTTGGACCTTTTTCTATCACAAAACTCCTTTACCGTCGCTGTTTTTAAATATCCGAGGAACTTGACGTGTACACGGAAATAAACTTACTGCCCCCGAGTGTGATGCTTAAAAAAACATTCCATGTGCTCAAAATTATACGACCAGTCACCAAAATGTATACAATTTCCCCCTGCAGTATAATATCTGTGTCCCCCACTAACTCCTAAACCATTAACATAAAGTGAATAACAATACAAAGTGCAGCAGAAATCAGAGGCTCTATTGATGATGGTGTGTTCAGTGGATTGGTAGGCTATGATGCTGCTGCTGCTAATGCATCAACTTTCTGCCCTCCCTATGGGGATATCACATCTCTGCTGACTGCAAATATGAAACAACACCCCAGCCTATAGATCATATGACAACATGGGCTGAACACACCCAGTATGATGGATGCGATGGAACCAGCCTTTACCCTGCCTACAAACAGAGCTTTATCTTTTATCTTCTTAGCAGGACGCTAAAGTGAAGCTAACATTCACATTCAATCAGTTTTACTCCATCATCACCACTTCATAGGTGTTCATCTAGAAACACTGAATGAATTTGAGCCTTGTCTCGCACGGAATTTGAAACAAACTGGACAAGTGTTGCACAGTGTGTAACGTAACTTTGGATGGTTGTTAGTGTGAACGTAGCCTGTTAGAGGTCGCCCAGGATTAAAGTGGTACAGAGATACCGCCCTCAAACCTGTTCTCAATAATATATTCCATCTGTTTTGATTCAAGCAAAATGAATTGATTACATTAGACAAATAAATTGTATTTCCACTGCACTCATTTGTAAGGTCTTACCTTATTTGTCATGTTCATTTAGATTAATGAACACAGTGGCTGAATCTGATTCCCCGTCACATGGGTGTATGATTAGATATAATGTAAAATCTGTGAAAAGATTACTGGTAACACCATTTCATTAGTGCCATGTTCCCAGAATGTTCAGTCACTGTGTCCATTGAAGCTCATTTCATGTAAAAACGAATCACCTTTCTGGATATTTTCATTTTATTTATGTAGGATGTACTGTATATATCCTCATTTTTTATGTCTGAACCAGTTACATTTCCTGACATATTGGTTTAATAAATACTAACTTTAAAGTGTTAACTCTGTGACTGTGATTTATTCAGAAGTAGATTTTGTTCTTTTCTGTTCTCTGTGTTCTTCACACCTCTGTAGCAATTATTGAAGATCTGAGAACGGCTCTGCTCATTCTGATGACAGCTGGATGATCGCTGCAGAGGGTCTTTTAATGGTTCGATCAATGTGTTAATGGACTGGTACAGTTTATTTCTGTAGATGGAATAAGGTCGTCCATCGCTGCCATCTCAAGATCGGAACCACATTGATTTAGTGTTTGGCATAACTGTAGCTAATTCCCCCCTTCACTGCATTCAGCAATCAAAAAGAATGCAAAGGGATAATTATGAAAGCGGTAAGAAACAGCGACAGACGACGGAGTGTAGGACGAGGAATGGAATCATATCTGCAGTGGGACCCACTCAGTCAGACTGACAGGAATAATTAACAGGTTGTGTTTATGACCTCAGACCCCCATCGGAACAGGCTGTTTCATTTAGAAGCGTGTTGCCTCCCACGTCTGCATCTACTGTACAATTCAGCAGCGTGTGGAGTCTGCAGGTGTACAGATGGATCCTGTAAGGACCAGAAATTGGTGTTGCATAAGCGTTGAAAGTCATTATTAACATTACCAAGGTAACTTTTGAACTATGAAGCGTGACGGTTTTGTGGCATTTTTAAATGGTCAACTCATGGAGTTTTCATGTATGAACAACTGCAATAATTATTTGTAAATTCTCCTGTTGTAGGATATGTGTAGTAGTAGTAGAAGTATGCAGTGTAGTTATTAACAATAGATAATAATTACTTCTGTGCAGCTTGGTTAATGTTAAATAACCTGTTAATTAACTTAAACTATATTTCCACACAACGCTAAAAAATACATTATTATTTTTTCAAAACATATATTAAAAACAGAAAAGAGACCCAGCAAAACATAGAAGACATTCTCGATTTAGTAGCTTAGCAGCTATTAGCCTCTACGCCTGACGTCAGAGGGCGCGGCCATTTCGCGAGCGCTATCAATTAACACAACGGGACAGGAAAACACTTTCAAAGTAAAAGCCTTAACAATTGCAAAATTATAAAGTTGTGTTTTTTTCTCTTCTACATTTATAAATTTAAATACATTTTCTCCTTGACAATATAAATAAGAGAGAAGACAGAACTTCAACCCGACTTCAGTCATAGCATATTGGCTCCACCAGTAACAGGAAGCGGTGTGTGTGTGTCCATATTGTTTGACTGACTGTTGTTGACATGACATGTGAAGAGGTTCGGTGTCTTAAATCGATATTGTACATTGGTGGGATTTCACATAACCGCTGCTTCGCTCTGTCAGTCTTTTATTCTGTAAAACATCAACCGGAAGTGTCAAACACTAGGCGCTCCACAGTAGATTGGTCGCAGGGCGGCGTGGTTTCACCGAGGACGGTGTGGTCGAGTGGAGCGGCAGGACAGACAGACGCTTTCACCGTGTCTCCAAACAAATCCACGCACACGACAAGGGAGAAGGAAAAACACGAACAGAATCTTCTGGAAGGTTGGTGAAATTCACTTCTTTTTAATTTAGTGCGATGGCAATTTGCAATACATACAATAAAGTTTGATTTTTTGTCGTAAAAACGTCAGGTTTGTGAAGTTCCGTTAGGTTACGTGCGTTTCCGTGCTTAGTTGGATCAGAGTTTGTGATTGATGTCTGTCGTCACCGTTGTCTTTTTCTTTTGTTTGTTTTTTTCTGGGCTTGTTTTTTTAATGTGGCACCACATGAATAAATACCCGAGTATAACCCCAGTAAAACCATAACCGTTTGTCCCACACGGCGGCGGCAGCGTCGTCGTCCACACGGTGTTGTGATGTCGATTTCCTCCTTAAATATATTACTGGATTAAAAGCAATTGTTTGTTGTGAGGATTAAACTAAAGGAAGTGGCAGCTTCTCTGGGTTTGTGACTTTAAAACAGCGTACAGTAATGGAATCGTATGTCACAGGTTTACAACTCCTTCGGTTTATGTTCTCCGGTGCAAAACTAAAATAAGTCCAAGTTCTCTGGAGTTTGGTTGCCATATATGTAAGAAACACGCTTTAGTTTAGCTTTAAATAAAGGGGGACATTCACATATGATTTTCAGTAGAATAGTAATTTCTTTTTATTTTTTATTTTTTACATTTTCCTGTTATGAAACAGGCACATGTATGTTATTACTGACTCTGTTCACATTGAGGTGCTGAAATCAGAGAAGATGGCAGGACCTGATGAGATTTATAGTGATTTGATCCATGAAGAGTGGAATGGTGAGGTCATAACAATAATATTTGTTGGCAACAGTGTTTGCATTAGAAAAAAAAAACCCAAAACAAATAGAACAGTACTCAACAATTAATTCCACTAAACAATGAAAACACCAAATTAGAATCTAAATCTCAAGGAAATAACTAACTTTTATGAACATTAAATACAAATGTGCTTGTGTGTAATTGTGTTTGGGAGTGTGTGTGTGTGTGTATGTGTGTGTGTGTAAGGTGTGTAATTTAAGTCACTCCTCACCCCGGTGCAGCTACAGTACAGTTTCTATTGTGCCTTTTTTTTTCTTTGTTTTCTTTTAGTTGGTGCTGGGCTGACTGGCTAAATCAGCATTTCACCCAATGAATGACTGAATAGAAAAGGATAATTAAGTCCTAATTATTTACAAAATGACACGCATAAATGATGTCTCTTCCTTGATGAAAACCTTGTTTAAATCAATTCTTGGAAGTGTGTACGGCTGCATCCTAAGTCTGTCCTTTGTTAGTCTCATGGAATTCTGCCTGTGTGTACGACTGCATCCTAAGTCTGTCCTTTGTTAGTTTTTGCATCGTTTGTGTTTTTTTTTTTTTACGTGTATGTACAGCACGGAGAGAGAGTCTGTGTCGCCTCTGTGCTGCCGTGTGTGAGTGTACAGCTGTGGTGCACGTATACTGTCTGCTGTAGTGTACGTGCTATACGTGGCTGTCACTGCTGTTCAGGTGAGAGTGTGTGACGATGAACAGCATGTTGACAGGTGTCCGTTTGAATGTGTTCATGTGGCGGCAGGGAGGGGGGAGGTGGTGGATGAAAGAGGAAGGTAAGAGAGAGAGAGAGAGAGAGAGGGAGAGGAAAAGTCCACTTTATGTTTTCTAAGGCAGTGAAAGAGGAAAAGCTTGTCAGAGAAACGGAAAGTAAAAAGACAGAGAGTTGCCCGTGTGTTATGTAAGTCTTGAGGTGTGTGTGTGTGTGTTTGTGTGTGTGTGTGTTTGTTGGGTGTTCTTTCTGTAGGCCTCCAGATTAATCCAGGGAGTTTTATCCTCGGTGAATGGGACAGTGGAGCTTTGCAGTGATTATCCCTGCAGGCCACAGATGATTGCTTTGAATCGCCTCTGTACGAGCCACACTGGTCTCCCTGTCTACACTTCTGTCCTCTCTGTCCGCCTTACCTATGTATATACAACTATGGCAATGACTAGAAGATCCACAATGAAGTGACAGCATTATTATAATGTGTGTTTGTCTAATTTAAGTGAACCAGCAGAGAAGTATTAGGAATTCAACCTGCTCCGCTCAACAGACTCTCCTGCGTTTGTAAATCGTGTTGCAGTGAAGTGTCAGTTAATGAAAGAATAAACGAGTAGTTTATTTTTATCTTCTTTGAGAGGAGGTAGAGGAGTGTTAAAATGTAGCTATGACGTCTAAAACATTGAACTGCCTTTCTGAACATGCAGCTATTGGAACATTTCAGCACCAAGGACAGTTACACCAAAACATCCCACTGGAATCTGTTTAGCAGACAGAAAGTAGGCCAGATGTGATGGCTACTCTGTTGCTATGTAACATTAGGATGTGGCCCACTTTTGACAGCGAAGCAGGAATTCTATAGCTATGAGCCAATCCGACCCGGACGTCATTTATGGAGATGTGAATTCTGGAGGTCACTTTTAATAGACAGCTTTTTACACCAGTTGTGTTTTAAACATTACTTCTGTCTGACATCTGGCCACTGAATGGAGCTGACGAAGACACTGTGTTCCAAATTTGGGGGGGGCATAGATTCCAGGAAGCGCTTGAATTCAACTTTAACACAACAGAACAGGAAGAGCTTGAATTCAACTTTAACACAACAGAAAATAAGCACAGGATATCAAAATTTATCATCGAGAATCTACTAAACATTATGACCCATGGGGTTGTAGGGTGCTGGGAATTTCAGATTTGTAAGAAACCCTTTTGGAGAATAACATGCTCAGGCATTTGTCCTCCAGGTTTCCTGAGTGAATTTCCACAGCAGATTCCTCCCTGTGTGTCCCTCCGATCTCTCCATAGGGAATGTCTTAATTCAGTGGGGCCATATGGTCACTGGAGGCGTTGCACTGGGTAGAAAGGCATCTCGGTATCAGCTTCACTTCCTTGTTCCTTTCACTCTCCACCACTGTGGCTGACCTGGAGAGAAAAAAGCTCCATTATGAAGCCTTTTTGGTGAAAATGTGACATTTAGACTTCAGTGGATTTTTACACCTTTGACGTGAACAACTGGAGGTCTTTTCTCTGCGTCGCTGAATGGGAGGAAAAACGACTGCATCGTTCCGGGTTTTTTATAAACATGAGAAAAATATCTTCGTCATCTGTATCTGTGTTGATGCCTTGTTTGTTTCAGTAGATTCATAGTTTATTATGCTGTTATTTTGCAGATTCTCTCTGAGATTAAAATAAAGGATAACGCACATTAGATGATGGTGCATTAGATGAGGTTGACGCAAACGTCCTCCAACTTGATGGTCGTCATCCTCTTAATTCTCTTCTTTGCTTTGTTTGCTTTGAGTCGAATCCACAACAATTTCCCAAATATGGGATCAATATAGTATTTAACGTATTTAGAGTTTGAAAAAATTGAAATTTTATTCTGTTGCAAAAGCAGAACGTCTTCAGGGAGGCAGTCAGCTGTAAAATAATGGGGACAGTCTCTGTATATGTACCGCCTCAGGCTCCCATCATGCTCTATGGCCTGGTCGTGTTTCCTTGTACTGTACGTGTTCACTGATAGTAGGTCAGGAATGAGATCATTAGTATTACTACATGTATTTATGTGTACTGTGTGCTTTGTTTGTGTAGAAAACAGTAGAAAATCAAGATTATTTTAATGAGTTAAAACTTAAACTTATCTTTATTAGTCATTGTGACACAGCACAGCACAGCACACCATGCACAACAAAATTTGCCCTCTGCATTTAACCCATCACCAAAGTGAACAGTGGGCAGCCGTGGTCGGCGCCCGGGGAGCAGTGCTTGAGGACGATGCCATGCTCAGTGCATCTCAGTGGCAACCTGGCAGTTGATGGATTCGAACCTGGGGCCTTCCGGACCAAAGTCCGCCTCCTTCACCACTAGGCCACCACTGCCAAGTTGTTGATGGGATATAAAAATATAGAAGTCCTACAGCAGTAGAACAGCAGTAGAACTGACTCTAACCAGGTGTAATGAGTAGGTGGACCTCAGGGGGAACGTTCTTCTGGATCTGCTGCCGTTACTCCATGAATTCTTTGGAGAATTGCTTCACAAATTGTCTTGAAACTAC